TTTTACAATATATTACTTTAGAGTAGATTTTTAAGTTAATTTAAATTTTTTTCTGATAAACATTCAAATAAATAACATCTAAACAAAAGTTTATTAGTTATACAATAGAGTCAGTGATTCTCTCTCTCTCTGGGCAACCATTCCCTTAATGATTGAGTCAACAAATGAAGTCATTGAACATTTCGGTGATTGTCATCGAAAGCCAACCATTGATGCAATTCCGGTCATAAAAAAGGTTTCACTTTTCTTATTAATCAAGGATTTAAAGATATCCTCTCATATATCCTTTTTATAGACTTATAAATAAAAAGCATAGACAATGTATTTTTTATAACATTCTATGCCTACTATTCAATGCTATAGTGTAATAGTTACCTCAAAATCTCAATCATTTTTTAAAGTACTAATTTTTAAATAATTATATAAATCTTTTCAAAATGAATCCTATATGTAAAAAGTGGTCAAATCCAAGTCATATTCTTTTCCAATTGGCAAACATTTTCATTGTCATCTCAAACATTGAATTCAAGTGTAAATTCATGTGTAGATTCAACTTATTATACATGCGATTCTGTCTCTTATTATCAGCACTTTGTTTCTGTTTGTGGGGATGGCTTGTGCTGTGCTCTTGGGATACCACTCTCTGGAACGCTATATTCATATGCATTCACATCTATCACATTACATTCATTTTGTGTGAATTGTTTGCATTTTATCCTAAACTCGACTCAATTGGAGAGAAGATTTACCAAAAGCTTCATTTAGAGACCAGAGTATCCAAGAAATCATTTCATGACATTATATATAAGAATATATTCGAAGTACAGACACTTCAAAAGGGAGATATATATTGTGTGGAAGGCATGAGTGAAGCAAATAAGTTGTCTCTTATGGTTTGGGGGAAGATGGCTGTCTTTAACTCTTCGGGAACTCTTGTCAAAGAAATATCGGACATCACTTTTATTGATGCCCTCCATTGGTTTGTCACAACCAAGAAAGGAGTCACACCTGTCTGTAAGCAAACTATAATGGCTTTGGAAAAATCACAAATTGTTGTTTGGAAGACCACGCAAATGGAAAGGGCTTTAACGGCCAAACCAATGCTTTCTGCCATCCTTTACAAAGTATTGGCCGAAGATTTCATCAAAACATTTGGTTTTAATTAAATTATAAAATCTTAAATTTAGTTACTTGTATATTTGTTGTAAAATGTATTTTTTATTAAAATAAATATTTATAAATTCATATAAATATAATGAATTTGACTTTTCTAAACCCTGATCTTTTATATGTTTTAAGAGAATTAAACAGTCAAAAAATTAACAATTATCTGTTATTATTAAACCAAAACCATATGACAATAAATGTGAAACTAGTTTTTAATCAATAACAATTTAACACTTCTTACCAATGATATTGTGTTAAAATTCAAGGCAGACTTCTGACCACAAATTAATTATTGCAAATAATTAGATCATCTTCGGGAGTGATTAACTTATGTACGTGTGATAAAAGTGTTCATATGGGGCCACAATTTATAAAATGAATCTTTGGGAAACCATCTGATGAATCAATTTCTGTATGTTATTAAATATTTTAATTTATAAATTTATATACTGTACAGTGTTAATACTATGAGCCTATGATTTACAAGCAATTAAAGATACCACTGTATGATGCTTATATCTGTTCTTAATTTATATGATTATATGACTTGTAGTCTAACTAAATAATATACGAGTAAATATAACCAGATTATTTATAAATTTATTACATTCCGTAGTATTTGAGAATATTTGTGAAAATTTTAAAAAATCTAACGTCAACCACAATTATAATAATAATAAGCTTTACCATAGTTTGTGGAATATAAGTCGTAAAACTTTTAAAAACTGTTTAGTGAATAAAATAACCCGTTTTTATTATTCACCTAAAATTTTTTACACTGAATAAATCTCTAAAGAAATAATGGCTCCACTTTAATTTATTAAAATCAATAATACTTAAAAGTTAATGTAACAAGGAAAAATACATGGAATAAATTCTTACTGTATAAAGATTGACATGATAATATCATGATGATATTTAATGATTAGTAACGCCATCATTTGTCTGCAAACACAAAGTCTGTAGACTATAACAAACTACAGAATAAATTTTGTAGAATAAATCCAGAATCCCCTTAAGTAACCAATTATTATGACTAATCATAAAGAATTTATTCATTAAAATAATTATTGATTGTAAAGTTGAAGGCATGACTACAATAAACACAGTTGTATTGAGTTATTGTAAAATCGTGTTTGCATTGAAATCAATGAATTGAGAAGACTATAAAACATTTTATTGGAATTGAAATGAATTAGTTTGTGGTTAACAAATGCATTGCTAATAATTGTTTTAATTAATACAATTATTAATTTAAATTAATTAAAAATAATAAGTCAACATGTTATATGATATACACTGGGATTGGAATGGAAACCAATTAATGGATTAAAACAGAAAATTCCATTATATTTATATATATATTTTAAATCCAATTATAATTAGTTTGAGTTTAGTATTTGAATGTGGGCTCAAAATGTGCACCAAATATATCGCAATCATCGGTCCATACATTTATCACTGATTTTCAAATTAATTTTGATAACAAATTGCAATGAGAGTCGTATGAAATGTGACCAAAATGTTATCAAATAAGAAATCATTTGCACAAATCGTCCCATTTGTTCAAAAATTCGTATCATTTGTTAGAAATTTTACGAAAACTATATATTTGTAATGAAATTTTTGATTATATTATAGAAAAGTAAAGCAATAAATGAATGTATGATATAATCTGACGAATGAATGTAATTAACAAATATTTAGTTTCAAACCAATCCTTAAACACCGGTTCTCATGGATGACGCGGAGCTGATAGGAGTCGATGTGATTGAGTCGCTGCCAGAGGATGGAGAAGCGGTCGGACGGCTCGCTTTGTTCTCCAGCTTTTGGGCCGACTGTCGGGCGCCGGTCAGCGTCTTCAGGGTCTCGCCGTTCTCTTTGCCGTCGAGTGTCGGCGTCGGAGTCATTGAACCCGATTTGCATCCGGGCGTCGGTGTGGACGACGGACTCGGGACGTACTTCTCGTCGAATATCTTGACCTGACCCCCGCCCGGCACGTGCTTCACGTTGTCCAGTGACCCCACCTTCGACGCCACCTTCCACTCCAACTTCTTAGACACCAGTTTCACTTCGCCGCCGACTGTCCACCAAATCAAATGGAAATGAGATTTCAGTGAATGAGTGGCAAAATGGGAAGACATGACTACACACGGGGTTTGTGTTTAGCGTTTTCAAGGGATCCGATGCGAGGCTTTGCATTCCATGAGAGCCGTTGGGATTCAACTTTCTTCTCTCCGCCCGCTTTACATCCCATTCATACAAATAGTCAGTAATTCATACAAATATTCATTAATTGTATTAATCGTAACATTTTAGTCAAGTTTGTGTGAATGTCTCACTCGGTTTGTGTTTAACGTTTTGAAATGATCCAATCTTTGACTTAACATTCTTGAGATCGGGTCCAGGGGCTAAACCCACCTGCGCTTTGATCGGAGGAATTCCTACATATAGTGACAAACCATGAAATTTAATGAAAACTAATTAATGGTCAAAAAATATTGATAATAAATGAAAGAATTGAAAATACTTTTGTCAGGTCTGGTGGGCGATGGAGATTCACACGAACTCGTATTGGGTGTCCCTAACAATGCAATCAATTACTGTTAATCCATATTAAGTATTAATCAAACAAACTATTGTTCAAATACATAAATAAGACTTATTTGTATGGGATTTACACTTAGTGTAAAATCTACTTTTTCATTCAATAATTATGGCAATCATTTAGTAAACATAGCCATAATTCTTAGCATTTAATGGTTTTATTGATTGTGAATAAAATGTGAAAATAAGATAATGAAAAGAATAGGGATGGGACTCAATGGGAAAGGGACTATAAATGACTATAATAGCACAATATTGGCACATATTCTCAAATAGAGGTCATATTTAGCTGAATATAAACTTGAATTAAATGAGTGAATAAATGACATATTATTAGTTGCTTAATAATCTGTTTTAAAAATGTCAATATATTACAGTATATTAATATTTCTCATTTATATTTCATTTGAATAAATTCAATGATAAACTCAACAAAAGGTTTGGCA